AAAAAACAATTATTCATAACTTACGGGTCAATATTAACTTGGACGTGAATGAAATAGTCAATTATTTATAGTTCAATAAATTACTCAACTACTTAATTTTTTTTATTTGAATAGTTTATACAAAAATAAATTATTTTAAGTAATGAAACAATATAAATTTTATATTTATAATTATTATTCACATATGTTGTTAAATATATGATAAAATTTTACCAAAATAATTGTTTTATGTAATCACATTATAGTCAAATCGAATTTCTGAATAAAAAATTTGAAATGACACTTATTTTGAAACGAATATAATGTAATTTATTATCAGTTATATGTATCCATGGGTTGTGTACTAATTTTAAATAGACATTTTTATGTAATTTTTCACAATTTAAACTTTATATAATATTTTCAACAAATTAATATAGGTATTTGATTCTATATTTTTAATTTACAAATATTATTTAATAAAAAATTTTTAATTTATAAATATTAATAAATATCTCTTACCCGTGCAGTGCACGGGACTCATACTAGTTTCTAATTATAACCATTGAATTGTAAATGTATTTTAAAAGTTGACAACTTTTGTATTTCTTATCGGTTTTTACATATATAATATATCAAATTAATCATCTTTTGATGAGTTTTGATTTGACATCCATATTGTTAATATAAATAAATAAATTATATTTATCTTTATAATAATAATAAAATTATTTATTAAAATTAATTAAAAATATAAAATTATTTCTCAATTAATATATTTATGTTTAATGGAGTTATGTTATAAGTTAGAAAATTTATTATAATATAACACATGTAATTTGCACAAGTAACAAATATTATAGTACAATATATAATAATATATATTTTCTTATAAAAGTATTTAAATTTTCAACCACTTTTTCTCACTAGTTTTAAATTTTAAGAAAAAAAATTTTAGCAAGCACCCATGTAATACACTGGTGTCGTACTAGTTTATATTTATTTGTTTAGTTTAAAGTGACGATCTTTGGAGGTAAAACAAGTAAACTGGACGTGATAATACCAAAATTCGACTTTATTACAATATTCAGTGCACGAGAATCAAATCGACTGCCATCATGATTCACGTGTCTTAATTCTAAACTCAGATAAACACAGATCTCAACTCAGTGCCAGTAATTTTTCAAATATAAGTGAAGCCTTTTGGCCACAAAGCTGAACTCCAGTCTCCAGGTCAGTCTTAGATCAAAATACCACCAGTAAAGCACAATATGACCAAAACAATTTAGCACCAAGGTCACATGTTAGCACCATTTAAAACCAAAATCCACTGATTTAAAACCAATGTTTTGTTAAACTGTTCTCACGACTATTTGTTGTGTGGATCAACACTTGTCCGAATAATTGATTAAAACGAAAAACACTATTGCTTCCTTCCCCTTCCTTTCTTGGCTGGCTGTGCATCTATTTGTTCTTTCCCACCAACTTCAGATATATCGACTGCGGAAAAAGTTAAATACAATTTCATCCTTGTTAGCATAACATGAATACAAGATGAACTTTTACAAAAACGAGAAAGGGAAAAAAGTAAAAGCATCCCAATATCTACTAAAGCAAGTTAAAGCAGTAAAGACAGACTAATATATGGTTTATAGATCAACAAGATTATAGCAAAAGTGTGGGTCGGCTCACCATACCTATAAAATCATGTAGGATTGAGTTTGTAATCCAGCGGAAAAGGGAACAAATATGTACTACTCATGGTTATGCATCCGAATTGTCAATAGTAAATTAAATATAATGTGTCAAGTGTCAATTGGAGAAAATGAAGATGCTTTTAACTGAAAATAGACATCAACCTTAGGTGTCACAGTAAGAATATGATTGGTAGCATTCTCAGGATTGAATCTTGGGAGGAAGGCAAATATTATGCAATAAGTGAATTGGAAAGGAAAAAAAATAAAAAGGTTAATTACTACATAGCCTACTCAGTATCAATCTGCAATTACTAGTTTTAGCATCAACTCTTCTACATCAAGTGAGGCTCTGGAATCCAATTGATCATATCACTGCATGATGTGTGGCCAAATCACTGATGTTGCATTTTCCAAAAACACTTTTCTTAGTGTAATTTCTCATTTACCTAATACCGGAAGCTCTTGGGTCAGAGAATTAGTATGTTAGCTGAAAGGTCCATTCAAACCAAAATCGCTTATATATCTTGACCAAGTTCATAAAACAGCTGACTACATAAAACTTGTCTAACAACGAAAGATTTCACATTCCATAAACTCCAGATATAGGCGAAACAGTATAAGAGAACTTATGACCTTCCCCAGGCACAACCGAAAAATGGTTCCACCACTAGTAAGGAGGGAATATTGTTTTCGAACATAAGTCAAACCAAACTGAAGGAGAGAACCAAAAATCTGATAAAGGACATACATATTAATTTTATGGATAAGCCTATGCAGGACAAACACATTTCGGTTTGATTTTAACATAGCACGAAATCACGGTCGCTACAAATTTCAAACATCTTATCATTCCCTTCTCCTCAAATAATAATAAATTTCCATGAACAAGAAACGTGACCTTAAAAACCCATAGCCTAAACTATTTAGAAACCTACTCTCCCGGTGTTGAGTGGGCACTCAAATACTGAGATGCACATGCAGATGTAATGAAATTTGAAAATAATACCGTCAGGTCCACGAGCCATCAGAGTAAAGAAGATGTTATTGAACTTCTCCATCTTTTTCGCATCCTGAGCCTGGTCGGTCTTAAATTTGATACACTGAAGAAAATAAGAAATTTTAAGATAGTGAATATAGCTCACAACTTCACGTCTTTCCTACCCTATTGACAATATAATCTTTTTCTTCCATTGCAGCAAACTTTGAAAGATAGAATCCAACCAACAAATTTTCCTAACAAGAATGAAACATACAAATGAATAGGCTAGGCAAATCCATTTAACCAATGAAAGAGCAGATTAATCCAATAACTATGTGCCAGCATTAGTAACTCAATTTCCACCAAATCCTCGGTTAGAAGAGCAGATTAATCCAATAACTATGTGCCTGCACTAGTAACTCCATCTCCACCCAATCCTATTGACTAGACGCATATTCAGTGCAACCTCAGATGATAAGAATAATGAAGGCTAAACATTTCGTCAATGAATATGCTATGTATGAATAATTCTATCAACAAAGTTGAAGAACGTCTAGATGTATCAATTTTGTTTTGTATCTCAAGATCTGAATTATATTCAGGGTAGCTTATCGAAGACAAGGGCCAGACAAGTGACAAGCAAAATCATCCTAACAGTTTCGAGTGCCAATTTTTTTTATTGCTTAGCTAAAATTACACTTCATTCACTAGGGCTAGGCTGCATTTGAGTTATTTACATGGTCTAAGGCATATCAATCTACTTTATCAAAGGTGGGATGCTCACATATTATTCAAAAAATAAACCCAAAAAAGAAAAGACAGAAAAACATATGCCAATGGGAACAATTCCCAGCAATACACGTGCATTTTTTTTTTTTTTGGCATAGCTGATAACAACAAGGTCTAAACCAACAAAGCAGGCATCATCTATAGCTGAAATTCAACAAAGCTAAAAGATATAGACCAATTATCATATCAGCAAACTGTACCTCTTTATCATCGGTGACTTTTAGCACCAATTTGCCGTCGCAATGCCTGTATTTCATGGAATAACGAGTCTGCGCCGCACAAACAAGATGATTCCAATTAGAATCACACGCACACGATATAACGACCATCAAAAACAGATAAAACATGAAGCAATTGAGATTTTTACCTTTTCTGGATCGGAACGAAACAGCTGGACGGACTTTTCAACGAAATCGTCCCAGGATTCAATGTAGACCATGACTTCAAGTTTGGTTTCACAGCGCGATGATTGATACACAGTTTGTGAGTGCCGTGCTGCTCGGAGATGAAGCAAGCGCCTTGGCCGAACTCTGTTCTTTGTTCTGCCGTGTTCTTCGTTCTTTCTTTGTTTCCTCTTTTTCTTTTTTTGTTTTCTGTTAAATTCCTGACAGTGACGATAGTCGATATGGTGAAACCACAAGGTTTGGACTTCGCTGTTTGCAAATAATTAAATTCAGTTTAAACTAACAGGCCTCTAATTGGACCATTTGAAGCCTTTGGGCTCATGGACTGTCAAGTACATATAATATATTTTGAGCCCTTACGTTTTGTGGTCTCAATAGGTTATTTTTGAGAAAAAATTACCCATGCTCCAATCAAAACATGAAATATTGCATATAGATAGATTAACATAATTTTTTATTTTCAAACTTACAAATCCTACGTAAATATTTACATACATGTCAGATTTACTCAAATTTTAACTTACCTTTTTTAAAAATAATTATTAAGATAATTACATGCAATTGATAACTGCCCTAATTTAATAGAATTTCTCTTTCCACGTTCAATTTTCTCTTTGCTCTACCACGCCGTTTTTGCAAATCTTCGTTATCTTCTTCACCGAGAAATAATAGCACAATTAATGGCAAAAATTGACCAACCACCACCTTGTATCAGGTCATCCTCTGCGGCGGGTGGACTTGCGCAGCAACCGGCAGTTTCAGCGGCTGAAGCGGACGGCTACGATCGTGCGGTGGTCCCTTTCGGCTTGTGAGGCGGAGGTCGTCGACCGGTGGGCTTAAGCCGACCACGGTGGAAACTCGATCTGTCGGGCACCTGCGGCAGAGGGTCGAGCATCGGCAGAATTTGTTTAAGGTGGCGTGACGAGACGAATGGCGTCCCCGCTTTTGAGCGGCAGTGATTCATTTGGCTCGTCCGAAGGCAGCAACGACTGGTGGCGGTAATCTGTCGAGCATCTTGGAGATGATCTGTTCCGGCTGCGGCTGCGTCTGGGAACTCGTCTCAGGAACGGTCGTCGGCGGAGTCTTAATGACGCGACGACAGCCCTGCTTGTGAGCAGCGTCTGCGGATAGTTTCGATCAGACCTGTTTACAATGTTTATTTATAATTTATGTTTGGTATCTTAACAGATTTTTATGTTGAGGAAATTAATATGAGGCGATGAATGAGCAATTTCATTTTCTTTTTTTGTTGATTATTCTTTATGTTATTTTGGATATTTATATTAATGTTTTTTGTTTGTTTTTTTGTAGTTTTATCTTGTGTTTATGTTTTAGTTATTGAGTATTTTTTGTGAATGAATGTTTGGTTTTTGTCATGGTTTTTATTGGTTCGTATCAGCTGTGTTGTCTAGAAAAATCCATAGTGTATTGATGGAACTTATTGAAAAAGGTTTCCCACGTGAATCTACAGACTGATAGTACTGATGTTGGATAAAGATACTAGACCAAACATCAATCTCTCTAGTGATGTTTTTCGATTGTTGTTCAAGAGGTGCATGCGAAATAGGACATTTCAGCTAGTAAAAGTTATGTAAATAAAAACACAATATATATATTGACTATAAATGCAACATAAATTGAAAATATTTTGATGTCCATCTTGCACAAGATGATGATGCTCGTTGTTAAGCTTTGACTTTTTTTTTTTTATTATAATTGTCGACCAGGTCAGTTTTGTCATGGTATATTTTGAAGAAGTAAATNCATAACTTTTTTTACATCCTGTGAGTGTTATAATATGTTTTACACGTCAATGTTGTACAAATTATAGGTACTATAAAATTAAGTAAAAAGAATAAACAAAATTTAAACATCAAAATTAAGTTCAGATAATGTTTTGTAAATAAAAATGCAATATATACTGAAAATATACTGAGTATAAACGTAACATATAAGGAAAATATTCTTTGGCCAGTGCACTTTATCTGCAATCTCTCTTCTCTCCTCATTGCCGCCATCTTTTCCTTCAACATTCGGCCTGGCGCCGCCAATTTCTACTCAAACTTCATATTATCCTTTCCCCCCTCCTCCCACCTCTGCCGATCTCATCGCCTTCAAGAATGGCGAGAAATCAGCCGACCTGAGCCACCTGAAGCTATAGAAATATCCCAAGACGATCGGGCTATCGTTCTCGACCCGAACAATGCCGTTTCGTACATCCTCATGGCCCCAGCGCTTGATCTGCAAGATTTCAGGAATTTCTTCGGCCACCCTTCATGTTGTAGGTGAAGGCCTTGGACTTGCCGCCATTAGACGAGCCAAATATTTGATGTGTCGTCCTCTGTCAGCCACCACTTCGACGTTGTGCGCTGTGCATTGCACCAACGCGGACGAGCATATTTCGTTGATCCGTGCTGCCGTCAGTTATCGCCAATCATAAGTTCGTCACCAATTGATGCTACGTGAGAATTAAATTGGGGATGATAAATCCTTGCAAAAAGAAGAAAAAACTGATTAAATGTTGGAGAGTTATTAACTCGGTTGCGCAATTTAAGGAACATAATCGAAAATTTGGTAAACTCATATAATGCATTTTGCTAATTATTTGCTTGTGATTTAGTATTAATGCTAATATCTTTTCCTCAATCGTAAATGTGTAACTATTTCCATTGCACACAAGCAAGCATGTAAATTGACCTTGTTCTTTCACTCTCTCTCGTCTCATTCA